GTGGCTGTCTCCAGCTAACGAGACTTATCTGCCCGAGGGTTCGAACTCGAGACTTTTCGGTTTAGCAACCATGAGCTTTACCGATTATTAATAAATTCACTGATTTTATACAATCAAGCAATGTTTCTTCCAGAAATTTTCCGGGGGAGGGGAGGGGGGGAGGAGGGGGGGGGGGGCGAACACTGTTAAAAGTATATATTTTCTATATAAATTCCATTTCGTTCGGGGGGGGGGGATATACTTTCTATGGGGGAGGGGGGGGGGCTTAGCCGAAAAAATGCCTGGAAGAAACTCTGGTGCCAAGTCAACGCACCTGCTAGTTAAGATCATGGGGGGAAAAAAAGCACGGAGAAGATAATATTTAAGATTGTGATTGGTTTATTAAGTCTTAAAATGCGTATAAAAACCCAGTTTGCGTTTTTTTTTTCGTGGGGGGTCTGGGAACGTAAACAACCAACATCGCCGTATTACTGTAATTAGTTTTACGTCAGAAATATTCTCGAGTCTGGCACAGGTTGTTAAAAAAAAAGAAAAAATGTAGATTCTACCTGTTAATGAAATAATTCTAAAAATCAACACGAACTTTGAGTTTTTCTGGGTGAGTGCCCTTCTGGAATCCCCGGCAATTTCTCGAGGTATAAGACCTGACACGCCTCACACATACATCCCGTAGCTCCGCCAACTTCAATCGTTTCAAACAAAAAGACGTGACGTATAGCGAATTTCTGAGCGCGGGGTATATTTTTTTCTCGTCGCGTTACAGCTGATCTACTCAGATGGTGAAGACATACCTAAAGCTGTTTCCGTTGGTCGAGAAATGCAAGGGAGGTTACGCTGTTTGTGTTGATTTGGTGGGAAAAGTGTCCACGGATGTGTGAAGGCCTAATCTGAACAAATTGAAAAGTACATTGCTGAAATGGCTGAACGATTGCGGGAATGTTGTGTAGATCAGAATTTTTTTTTAAAACTTCTGCATAGATCTATCAGACTGCTAGATGCTAGGCTAGGGGTCGTCCATAAATGACGTCACACTCGTAGGGGGAGGGGGGGTCCGTAATTTTTTGACGGTGTTGGATGAGGGGGAAGGGGGGGGGGGGGTTCAGATTGTGTGACGCCACACAAAAAAACGCAATGTTTGAAAACGAGTTTTAGACGTTATTTCGCGCTTTAGAAAACTGTTTTAATATATTGTAATAGGAATTGATTAAAATACTCTATGTTGACTTTAGACAATGTTTTGGAAAAATATCTATGTTTTAAGAAAAATTCAATTGCAATATTGGGGGGGGGGGGGGGGTTTGTAGGCTGAGGTGTGATGTCATTTTAGGGAGGGGGGAACTGACTTTTGGTCACGATGTGTGACGGAGGGGTGGGGAGGTAAAAATCGTTTAAAAAAATTAGCTCATCGTTCTTTTTTTTTTTTGGATATAGGACAAAGGCTGATATCCAAAAGACCGACAACCAAAAGGCGGACACACAAAAGGCCGGCACGGATACAACATGAACAAAAGGCCGATTTGGACACATCAAAAAACGGAGTTAGGTAAGGGCAGAGAATACGCAAATTAAAATTCTGATTTAGTTTATATTTTCACAGAATTGTAATTCAAAATGACGAGACCGCTTCTGTCTGGCCGCTCTATAATACAAAAACAAAACAGCCACGAAAGAGCAAAAACTGATGGCGTCGGTTGACATCGCTCACACTAGGAAGATACAAAGTGAAGAAAAGCTACCACCGAGCCTTGACTCTGGAGTTCGGCTACCGAACCCCGAAAGAACTAGAATTTATATAGAAAATCAAATATATACTTTAACCAGTATCCGCCACCCCCCCCCCGCCCCCCCCCCGCCATCGCAGAGAATTTAATCCCCCCCCCCCCCCGAAAATTTTAAGTCTCCCCACTCAGGAGAAAAAAGTCTGAAAGAAACACTGATTGCTTGTGATCATTTTTAATGCCAGTTTTATATTATGTGAGTGAAGGTCATTTCTGCCAAAATGAATTACTTTTGTAATTAGATTTTTTTTTTACAATATGAGTAAAGTAAGATTATTCCCATCGAGAACGACGTATTAAAAATAAACTGCACAGGAGATCATTATCATTTATTATTTTAATTTTATACCAGCGTAAAATTTAACCGAGTGCAGTTTTATTTTGTATGTGGTTAGAATAAATATTAAAACTTTCGATGATGTTTTACCGTCTACAAATTTTAAGACAGGGGATGGTGGGGCTATAAGTCTAGGGTCGAGCTAACCTAAGTGCCTTACAGGTATAATTTAATTATTTAATTACAGTTATAAAATAATGTCAGAACCCCAGATAATTTTAATTGATATTAAGTAATTTTTATGACAATGTGATATAAGAGATTATTTCTTTAACAATCAAAGGGAGAGAAATGCATAAAATAGTTATGAAAGGGAAATAACGTTTAAAAATGGTATGGAGCTTAGTGGGGTCAACAATAAATTCAAGCATTTCGTTTAACTTAGTAAAACTTTATGGATATAACTCATTAAACAAATATAAAAATGAATGTTTCCACAATATAATTTATAAACTTAGTATGTATATTTAATTTAAACAAACAGTGAAATCATTCAACAAAACAGCAACAGAGTATGCTCTATTTTATTGTGATTATTTTAGAGTAACTGATGATTCCACTTGAAATACAACACACATTAACGGGTTAGATAAGAAAAAAAAAAGTGTATATGAAACATTAATAAGGTTGACAGAAAAATTTCCAGATCCCTTAGTAAAATTAGAAAACTAAGAGCAAGTAATTCAGCTTGTTCAAAGGGCTACTTTTGTTAAAATAATATTCAGAACGTTTTAGTCATTATGATCCATATTTTGAGATTCCATGTAAATTTGGTGTAAAGGAGAATATGAATTTGTTATACAAGAAAGATTACATACAGTAAATTAGACTTCTATCAGATCAACAATTTTATTAAAATATTGTATAAATTACATCAACATATTAACACTAGTTAGCTTTTTCTTGTGATAAAATATTGATTAGAGTTTATGTAGATGTGATTAGGCAAGATTATTGCCATAGCCAGATTTTTCAAAATTTGATAACTAACTTTCTTCTGAGACAGGTGAAGATGTTAAAGTAAAAAAAATTTGGCATTGGGTAAAAAAAAACATTGCAGGTGTAAAAAAAAATGAACAAAACCCAGGACGGTGAGATGAAGTTGTTAAAAAAACGAAGTTTTTCTTGAGTACAAAATTTTAGAAGTTGCCCTAAAATAAATTGTTTCCTATTGTTTCCAAAATGTGTCATGGATTTGACCTACCTCATTTATTTACTCTAGTAATTAGTCCCAGAAAAAAAAGCTATTTTATTAAGCTTGTTTCAAATCTTTTCAGACCAAACGAAAAATCTTAACAAGCGAAAAATTTACACAAAAATATTACTATAACATAAGACATAATAAGTTGTAAACAATATATTTTTTTTAAAAAGTGTAGAGTAATGGCAAGAGATTTTTGCAAGCAGTTGTATACAAAAGATGTATGCATCTAGGTTTGATAAAAAAATGTTGGATTTATGGTCATTTAGTCACTGGGCATATCAGTAGATATTAATTTATAACAGTTGGGTTTCTACAAAACATGCACAAACGGAAAACTTCGCCAAAACAAACTAATTATACTAACACACTTTTTACCCTATTTCGTGGGAAAATGTTTTATTATACTGCAATATACATGCTGTCATTCTTTGCCAGGGTCTATAAACGTTGATTTAGGAATACAAAAATGCCTTTGAACATTTTTCTGTTGCACATTTTTCCGGTCACCCATTAGTTGATGGGGGGGGGGGGGTGTGTGTGACAGAGAATATTAATAGTCACTGGTTAGGATTTTGGAATTGGTGGATATCATGGTACAATAATAATTAAGGATTAGTAGACATGATGGATTAAATGTAAACACAAGAAATACAGGGAGTGTTGGAATCAAACTTTTCAAGAACACAATGTATTACTACGCCAGCTTAGCAAACCAAAGCACAACATACATAGGATCGTACAGAGAACCAGAAGAAAAAGGAACCATAGTGTTTACGTGATTCACCACATACACAAGTGTGTCTGTCTAGCCTTGTTACGCCTGTCACACCATCAAACAAATTTGTTAAGAACAACTACAGCAACATCAGACTCAGCTGTTAATCAAGAATGTAACTGGCCATTTATCTTCTACAGATAACTCCATGAGTCTATCAAGCTAAAAATAAAACGGAATGTGTGAGCAAAATTTGTGCCAAAACGATGTCTATTTCAAAAGGGTTCTACTTAACTAGCAAAAACTATTACTTATTAAAAATTTGTAGTTAAATTTTGAAAGATCATTATTAGTACTTAGTCGAATTTAAGTACTACAACTTTTAATGACATTTAAATAATTGAATTACCAATTTACATTTAAATAATAATGACTACAAATACACATTAAAAAAATGAGATTTTATGTTTGTTCAATTAACAGTGTTTACAATCATAATCTAAATTATTTTAACTTAATGTATATTCTACTGATCCAGTATCTACAATCAAAAGTATTAATTCACAATTATATTTTGTTATTATAAAAAGTATACTCAGATCAAGTTTGATTTTACTGAGATGTACAATAAGAAAATGTATAAAAAAAAATTATTTCAACAACTGTATAAGGTAAAGCATACTCCAGATAGGACACAAGCGGCGATTAACTTAACAATAAATATCTCAGAAACTTTACATCAAAGTATGTATACACGTGGCCTAGTTTCACTATTTATATCGGAGTATTAAACACTGGGAAATATTTGTCTTAATTAAAGGTAACTGTGACGCCGCCGGAGTTTTCCTCCTCATCGCTGCAGCTCCCCTCCTCCTCGTCGGAGAGGCCGAGGTGTTTACTGGTGTGGGGGGTGTTCAGGTAGTGTGGTTTGTCGCTCTCCCGGGGGATGGTGATGCTGCGGACCGTGTTGGTGGACCCTGGACCTGACTGCTGGCCTGTCACTAGTATAGCTGAGGAAAAAGTTTTTAAATTTTTAGATGACATGCTTTGATGTATGGGAAGACGTGGTTGAGTAGTAGATCTCATGCCTGCTTAACCAGAAGGCCCATGTTTGGATCTGTAAGATGTCTAAAACCATGCCAAGCCCTGATGGGTACCTGACTCCGGTTACCAGCAAAAATGCGCAACAGGAAAAACAGCACAACCGAAAAATGCTCAAATACAAACTAATTATACTAATACACTTTTATTTTGCTATATTTTGTGGAAAAGTGTCTTATCAATGTACATGTGGCCAAAATTTTATAATATCTATAAGAATACATAAAATCTAAGAAAATAAAAATGCCCTTGCGCACTTTTTTTGAACAACTTTCCATTGCGCATCTTTCAAACAGGGAAAGTAAAGAAGTATACAAAAACAAGTGACCCAACTGAACTAGACTTTCACTGCAGAGTTTGGCTGATTAATTTATTTAATATTGATTACACTTATATGTTTTTTAAAAAGTAAAGATTCCTCTTTAGACTTAGCGATCCATTGGGCAGATGAAGTAACGTTCACATATCTCTTGACCTCGGCATATGAAAGGATTATGTGGTCAGCTCTATGCTTAGTCGCGTTAACTTTCTCTAACGTTAGGTACCCACCAGAGCAGGGTGAACTCACAGAAGTTCTACTGACTTGAACCCGGATTCAAACTTGAGACTTTCGAGTTAGCAGTCTAGCGCTCGACCTCTAAGCCACACCGCCACACACACTTATATTTAAGCATGCTTTAAATACTTTATTTCAACCTAAACATTTACTTTTAGTGCGGTTTTAAATTAAAAATTTAAAAATCTTAAGGTTTGATATAATTTATAAATGTGACTAAAGCATGTAACAAAAGCAGTGACTGGTATTACCTCTATCGTGTGCCTTGACATAGTTTCTCTCTCTGGCAAAAGACAGGGCGTAATGTATCCTCATATCAATGTCCATATACCACTCATCACAGCTAGCACCTACAAAAACAAATTGAATGTCTGTGTCAATACACAAAAAACATTTTCATCCCCTTATCAAATAACAAATTCACACACAGCTAAAAATATTTATTCAAATGATAAATCTCCAATGTTTTGAACTTAATTCTTAACACCACCAATGTAATAAACCTACCAGAGTGAAACAAACCTATTTGTGATAAATCTGCCAGTAGTAGACTTACTTGTTAAACCTACTAAAGTGATAAACATACAATGATAACCTACTATAATAATAAATGTATAAAACTAATAAAACTTACTACTTTGATAAACCAATAACAATGATAAACCTACAACTTTGATAAACATACTAAAATGATAAACCTACTACAAAGATAAACCTATCAGTGAGAAACCTATTAAAATGATAAATCAGTGATAAAACAATTACAGTGATAAACCTTTTACAAAAATAAACCTACTACAATGACAAAACTTGTACTGTAAAACCTACTGCTGTCATATAAACCTACACAATAATAAACCTACTACTTTGATAAACGTATGACTGTGATAAACCTACTTTGATAAACCTGCAAATGTGATGAACCTACAAATGTGATAAACCTACTACTTTGATAAACCTGCTACTTTGATAAACCTACCAGTGTGAAGAACAGAAAAAATTCCCCTATGTAGATTGAGGCACCTGGCCGTGTGGTTGGATTTAGTGATGGCTATAATTATACAATGGGGACGGTAACGAGCAATTATGGTGGCTGACCTGTTTAAAAAAATTGTTTTAATTAGTGCACATCAGGATGATTTAATTACATTCATAAACAAATAATCGACAGCATGTTACAAAAAAATACAATATAAAAACTAGTTGTTATGAAATGAATAATCAATATCTGCAATAATTATTTTGTGCACTTATGAATGTTATAGTGTAATCAAAATGTCAGAAAATATAAGGGAGACACTTTTAAGAGTGTGACAGGTTTACCACTTGTAAGTGGTTATACATCCTGTTTACTTGTTGGTTAAGTGTTTTGAGGAGGGTGGGGGATAGTTGGGTTGGATGTATTGGTATTAAGATTATGTTGGGGGGGGGGGGGGGGTTTAAGGTTTAAGATTTAGTACAAAAACTATGTTGTTGTGTGTGTTATGTTTTGGTACAAAGTTTAAGTGAGTACCTCCAGAGTTGGTGACCAAGCTTAAGTGTTTAGTTTATGCGCATGTAGTGGACTGACTGAATAGTTTGAGTACCTTCCAGAAATGGGGATTAGAATAATGGGTGAGGAAAACTTAAGTGTTTAGTTTATGCGCATGTAGTGGACTGACTGAATAGTTTGAGTACCTTCCAGAAATGGGGATTAGAATAATGGGTGAGGAAAACTTAAGTGTTTAGTTTATGCGCATGTAGTGGACTGACTGAATAGTTTGAGTACCTTCCAGAAATGGGGATTAGAATAATGGGTGAGGAAAACTTAAGTGTTTAGTTTATCACATGTAGTGGACTGACTGAATAGTTTGAGTACCTTCCAGAGTTGGTGACTACAATGATGGCAGATGCTGAGCACCTAAGAGCCGCCTCAACAGCCGCTATAGAGGTAGCGTGGACCCGGTCAGTTGGTATGGGCGTGGCCTGGCGCAACTCTCGGAACATTCTAGCGTGAAATATAGCATTTTCTACCTGGATGCAGATCTAAGGAAAACAAATATAAAAATATAAATCAAAGTCCAATCAGGGATAAACAAAACATGTTTTTTTAAAAACAATAATATAAAGAAATGACATTGCTAAATGTGAGGAGAAATATTATAAATAAAGACTAAACATTTAGAACGCCTCAGAGACAATAGGAATAGTCTTCAAAAAAAATAGTCTTCAGAAAAAGATATACAATATTTAGACTATAAGTTTAGTTTTCTGTTTTCAGCCATTAGTGATAAAGTTCTATTCAAATATCTGACCTGACATGAAGCATATAAATCAAGATAAAATCTCTTGTTAATACCAAAGCAGATAAGAATAATGTGTGAAAAGCTTTATTTTCAATGACGAAAGTCAGGTACCCATCAAAGCTGAGTTGACTCTGCGACATTCATCAAACAGATGACTTTAAAGCAGGGGTCTCCAAACTACGGCCCGCGGACCGAATGCGGCCCGCGAAGTCCTCTCATCCGGCCCGCTGAGATCTTTTTGTCCAAGGAAAAATCGTTTGTTGGTGATGGCTGAGGAACTTTGCCCAGAAAAATCAAAGACATGCCTAGAAGAAACTGGCCCCCGAACTAAAATTTGATAGTTAATGCGGCCCTTGGACTGAAAAGTTTGGAGACCCCTGCTTTAAAGTGAACTGCTGTAGAATCTATAGCTTGACCACACTTTCCCCTCTTTAAACCCATCAAACAAACACACACTTAAGCTGACTTATTTGACAGGTGACAAGAAAAACGTGCAAATGAAAATTCGGCACAAAAATAAAAAGTTCATAAGGAAATTTCCACAAAAATTGACCAAATAAAGTGTATTTGTATAAAGACTTAGTATATAGACCTTCTTCTGTTTGTGCAGTTTGCAGTTGCACATTTAAAGTGCATTTTTATGAGAACCTATTAAACCCAGGAGGGAGCTTTATTAGAGTGAGGTGCTATTGAATCATTTCCAATTTGTTTAAAATAAAAAAAAAAGTTCTCAAGTTCGAACCCTCGGACAGATGAGGCTCGTTAGCTGGGGACAGCCACTCTTTTAGGAGAGACAACTCCAGAATCAAACAACTGCTGCCTTGTAGTTTATTCTTGATTGGACAAAGGCTATGGAAGCAAATCCAAAAAGAAAAGCAGGCTGAAATCGGAGTCAATGGCCTCAACAGAGCACAACCAATTGACACGAATAATTAATTGTGTTGGAGGGGACCCCTTCCAACACTAAAATTAAGAACGAAGTAGAAATAAAAAAATATTTTTTTTTCTCCCTCACCTGCTCCAACATCCTGCAGGCAGCTACTGGGTTCTTCCCCACGGCTGTCTCTTTAGACAGCATGACGCAGTCGCAGCCGTCAAGGATAGCGTTAGCAACGTCACTTGCCTCGGCCCTCGTGGGACGTGCGTTGCTCACCATACTGTCCAGCATCTGGGGTAAGTAGAAAATATCATGTTATTTTTATCTGTTTATGGGACGATGTGGTTCAATGGTTGCTCACCATACTGTCCAGCATCTGGGGTAAATAGAAAATATCATGTTATTTTTAACTAATCTGTTTATGGGATGATGTGGTTCAATGGTTGCTCACCATACTGTCCAGCATCTGGGGTAAGTAGAAAATATCATGTTATTTTTAACTAATCTGTTTATGGGATGATGTGGTTCAATGGTTGCTCACCATACTGTCCAGCATCTGGGGTAAATAGAAAATATCATGTTATTTTTAACTAATCTGTTTATGGGGAAAATGGGGTTCAATGGTTGAATGGTTGCTCACCATACTGTCCAGCATCTGGGGTAAATAGAAAATATCATGTTATTTTTAACTAATCTGTTTATGGGATGATGTGGTTCAATGGTTGCTCACCATACTGTCCAGCATCTGGGGTAAATAGAAAATATCATGTTATTTTTGACTAATCTGTTTATGGGATGATGTGGTTCAATGGTTGCTCACCATACTGTCCAGCATCTGGGGTAAATAGAAAATATCATGTTATTTTTAACTAATCTGTTTATGGGAAAATGGGGTTCAATGGTTGAATGGTTGCTCACCATACTGTCCAGCATCTGGGGTAAATAGAAAATATCATATTATTTTTAACTAATCTTTTTATGGGATGATGTGGTTCAATGGTTGCTAACTTGGAAAGTCTTGAGCTCGGATCCTGGGCTCAATGTCCCAGAGTCTATTCAGCTCAAATAGGTACCTGGCTCATGTTATGAAATGTAACGGCTGAGTGTAGTGCTGATCACACTTTTCCTTAATATTCTGAGCTCACTTAAACAGGTGAACTTTGCTTCACCTGCCCTAAGGTTCAAAAGGGTACTTTGTTTTAATTAATCTGTTAGAGCCTGTTAAAAAGTCTAACCGGATTTGTGGCTTGCTGTGGCTTCAAACACAAGGGTTGAATTAATTATGATTATAAATTTATTTAAATACAAATGTATTTCACAGCTTGAAGTGCTTTAAATTTAATATCAAAAGTAGAAAGACAATTAAATCACCTAAAATAGTAACTACTGTTAAATATTATTATTTCTTATTATTATAATGCAGTCCAGTGGTTTTCAAAGTGGTTATCACACTTCTGTTGAGGGATATGGATTGTTGCTAGAAGATTTCTTAAAGTAGGCTCGCACAGCAATATACAGTAAAAAAATATATAAAGATATATATTAAAAAATATATATAATATATATATAGATATAAATATAATTTCACATCATAATAATGGATTAAATATAAAATGCTTTAACCCTTAAAACCACGTAGCCCCTCAAAAGTTTAATTTTTTCTAAGAAGTATTCTTATCAACTGTTTATGGTGATTGGATGAAAAGAGTAGTAATGCATAAAAGATAAGACACACCCATAAACAAGCTTACTTTTTCTTTTTTAAATATATAGATTATAAATACATTAATCAACACAAGAAATTGATGTTAGTTACCTCCCATTTAAATGTTAAAAGGAACTAAGGTAGACAACCTAAAACTATTTCCCATAGATCATTAAAATTATAAAGACATTTAATAGTAGGAAGATAACAAAATATTTTTTATATACACAAAACATGACTTATGAAATCCTTAAGAACATTTGTCTAATCTTTGAAATGAATATATTTTAGAGTTATCCTTGACTCTAGTTTAAATATAAAAACTATTTGCTGTCTTAAATACTAAATTTGTAGTCAAGAGAAATTTGAAATTCCATAGTATTAAGTTCTCTTGGTGTTATTTTTGTCAATAATATGTATTGGATACTTTTACTAATATTTAAAAAGCGACCCACGCTATTTTAAATTGTTAAGTATTATAATATATTTTAAGAAAATCATTTATTTTCTCCTTTTTAGAGCATTACATAAAAGTTTGTTATTAAAATGCTTTTTTGGGCATTTTTTTCCAGTACTTTAAAATTTTTAATACAATAAAGTTGTGTGGCTAAAAACTATTGCACACCAAACAAACATGATAACCCGTGTATAGTAGTGCAGAATAGTCAGATAAGACTACCAACTAATTTCAGAAAATTTTAATTAAGTCATAAAAAATTAATTAGTCATCCAATTAAGTCAAATTTAATGTCATATTACATTGTCACTGGGTCTTGACCCGCATGCCGAATTTCAAAGAAATTGGTTGGATAGAAGTGCACAAAATTTTACATGGCCGTTTTGATCTAGACAAGATGAAGACAGACAGAGGAAACAAGTTAAATTAAAGCTGGTAAAAATAAAATTGTAATTCGACATTCTGTATCATGTATAAGTAAACCAAAGTAAATGAATGAAAGCACATGTCAGAAAGAAATATTACTATTGTAAGTCTGTATCAGTCCTCTCAAGCCGCTGATGAAAACTGTAATACTGAAGTGTACATGGCTAGATTAACTAACATGTAAATTACATGTCTGAGGTGAAAAAAAATTCTCTCCCATATCCATACCTCACATATACCATAGCAGGAAAGTCACATGATAGATGTGCTTTACTAATATTTATAAAAATGGGTGAGCTTAAATTTAAGGCACAGTATACAGTGTTTTTGATTTCTGGACAAAAATAATCTCTGACACTTGTTATATTTACAAGGAAATTTTTAAAATATTAATAAATCATAATACTAAAGCTGATTTCATTTAATAGTGTAGATAATGCAACATTTTATTTTATTTTATGCAGAAGGACTTGGTATGGAAAATTGCATGCACCACTGACATCAATATAAAACAAAGCATAAAATATAAAATAAAAATGATATGGAAACAAAAATGCATCTGATGAACAACGTACGATAATCCAATACAATTACAAATCAAAACAGGACAAAGTTTTAAAGGGTTTTTAGGATGGGAGATTGAGAATCAACAAAAAGTCAGTGAGAGCTTTGAGTTTTGCATGTGGAAAGGGTACCATGAATGAAGGAGACGCCATTATTTTTTGGGCTTTAAAACAGAGGCATGGTGAGATAAAATTTGGAAAACATCTACGTTAATCTTATTGTCAAAAATATCAAACTTTGCTTTAATTTCAGATTAAGCTTTCAAGGCAGGTTTAAAAGACACTATTAATTATCAGTATATAGTTTATTAAAAAGCTAAATACAAAAATATTTAGATTATCTACAATGGCAGTAAAACAGAGTTGTCTAACTCAGTATTTAAGTAAAAGGTTTACCTGTGCGGCAATGATGACTGGCTTGCCAGCAATATTTGCTCTAGATATGATCATTTTCTGGGCCAGGAACACCTTTTCTGGAGGAATATCAATCCCTAGATCTCCTCTGCCGACTAATATGCCATCTGCCACTTCCAAAATGTCATCAATTCTGATAAAAAATGTCATCAATTCTGATAAAAATGTAATCCATTTTGATAAAAATGTCATACATTTTGATAAAAATGTTATAAATTCTGATAAAAATGTAATAAATTCTGATAAAAATGTAATAAATTCTGATAAAAATGTAATAAATTCTGATACACAATGTTATCGATTCTGATACAAATAGTCAGCACAAAATGTCATCAATTCTGATACAAAATGTCATCATCAATTCTGATACAAAATGTCATCATCAATTCTGATACCAAATGTCATCATCAAGTCTGATTCAAAATGAAACATCGGGAGGAAGAGATAAAAAAATATTTTACTATGTCTTTTAAGGGACAGCATGGTCAAATGGTAGTGTTCAACCTCTTACCCGGAAGATCCTGGGCTCAAGTCTGTAAGACGACTCCACCTAGCCCTGATGTATAGCTGAATTGTGTTAGACGTAGTAAAGGTTACTGGGCATAGTGCGACCACACTATGCGAGGTCAATAAAACAGGTGAACTCTACTTTACCTGCCCCAGGGTTTGAAAGGGTACCATACTATGTCTTTTAAGGTTAAATTTACATTTACGAGATATGGAGTAACATTTTTTATTTTTGAAATGTTAAGTTTATAACAACGAGCCAATGAAATAAAAGTAGCTTACCTTTTGACACCTTCGTAGTTTTCAATCTTGGCGATGACTTTCATCCTAGTGTTGGCCTCGCCTAGTTGTTCCCTAACTGCTGTGATGATCTCTGGGCACCATACCCAAGATACCAGGACTATGTCTACCTATAAAACATTAGGTAGAAATTAGACTCACATTAGGTCAATTTTAACCATTAAGTAAAAATTTTAATAAAATTGTGTCTACCTGCAAAACAGGGGCAAGCTTAGTTCACATATTAGTACACAAAAGATATTAAGACTATTCTTAAAAATAAACATTAAAATTAAACTTTTGCAAGATTAGTTAGTAATTTATTGAATATTTACCTATAGAGAATATTTTAACTATGTTTGAACAACTTGTATTACACCTTTTCACTTATTTTATCAGCAAATGTTAGGAATTTAAAAATTTAAATTGAAGAAAACTATTACATAACCAGTTTGCATACATTTAAACAACAACAATCTTTTCCTACAAATTATTATTTTTAACTATGTAATAATGACAATACTAGAAACATTTGTATTTTTTAAAATAAATGAGAAAGAAATAAAAAAAACTGAAAACAATAGTGTGATTTACTTAACACAATAGTTAAAGCTGTTCAAAGCTAATTTAAATCAGTTATCACATTGCAAAACAGTGGATAATACTATAGTACTCACATTATGCTGCATACCAAACTGGATATCACTCTTGTCCTTCTCTGTCAACTGGGGGTTCTCTACTGGGAGTTTCATGGGGATGTGGCATTGGTTGAGGTCTCCTACCTCACCAGCATGCACTACTGTACACTTCACAGCTACACCATCTGTTAATTATAATACAAAATATATCTTCTTCTTCTTCGTTTTTAATTTTAGTGTTGGAATGGATCCAACAGAATTAAGTATATGTGCCATCAGAATTAAGTATACATGTCAACTGGTTATGCGCCATTGACTCCGATTTCAGCCTGATTTTCTTTTTTGGTTTGCTTCAATAGCCTTTCTCCAACCAAGAACAAACAAGGCAGCAGTTGTTTGATTTCGGAGTTGTCTTTCCTAGAAAAGTGGCCGTCCCCAGCTAACGAGCCTCAACTGCCCGAGGGTTTGAACTCGAAAAAAATATTTGAATATATATTATGCAAACGGATGTGATAAAGGGAAATAATTGAGTGGAGTAGACAACCAGATTTCAAGGTTAGGTGAGTCCAGATGAGAGTTATGTTTTCTTATTTACAATCCAGAACGGCAAGTGAGTTTTTTCCTGGCCTGTTAAAGTTAGGATTAAGGCCTGGGTAAGGGGAGAAAAAAAAGATTTGGTATACATAGCAGATAAGTATACAAGTACCAAGTTGAGTTTTGTTTCAGTCTTCTTAGGTTCTTATAAAAAAAAAAGGAAAAGTTACATATCTGTTAGAATCACCTAAAGGGGAAAAAAGCTAGTATTTATCAGTAAAAAGAAACAAAGTAGTAAGGTATTATGAAACTTCACATAAATGTACTACAACAATTGGTATTTCAAATTCAACAAATAAAGGTTTTTTTTTCACTAAATCTAATCATTTAGTTAAAGTACAGCCCCTGCCATGGTATAAAATCTAAACATTTAGGTAAAGTAGAGCCACTACCATGGCATATCACATGACTGCTAACCAAGTCTTGAGCTCGGAAAGGCTTGTGTACGTAGAATGTCCCTAACTCCCTCCGTTCAGCCGTGATGGGTACCTGACTCCCATTAGAGAAAGTAAAAGCAGCTGGGCATAATGCTGACCATCCTTCTTTCTTCTTCTTCTTCGTTCTTAATTTTTAGTGTTGAAGGGGATCGAGATTTATCTGCCAGTGGGTTTGAACTCGAGACTTTGTTCGAATTTATCAACCATGAGCTTTTTGCCGACTCGACCACGCCTCCAACACAATTAAGCGTAACGTGTCAACTGGTTATGCGCCATTGACTCCAATTTCAGCCTGCTTTTCTTTTTGGATTTGCTTCCATAGCCTTTGTCCATCCAAGAACAAACTACAAGGCAGCAGTTGTTTAATTTTGGAGTTGTCTCTCCTAGAAGAGTGGCTGTCCCCAGCTAACGAGCCTCATCTGCCCGGGCTGACCATCTAATGCCCTGATATGCTGAGGTCACAGAAACAGGTGAACTCTGCTTCATGGACTACTAGGACTGCCAGGTTCAAATGGGCAACTTACTTTTACAACCCCTAGCATACTCAATGGGGTTAGACATACCCTTTTCCTGCACCTCAAAACACAGTGGTCCATCTTCAATGTAAATGTTGTCTTTGAGCTGGGCCAGTTCTATGAAGCTCTTGGGAACATAGACAGTGTCAAGGTCAGACAAGTCCTTGTAGGCTTCATCACTGGTGAAGGTCAAGGTCTGACCTACATTCAGCTTGATGGGCTGTTTGATATCCTGTGAAACAAAAGATTTCCAACATTTTAAATATTGTCAGAGAGAACAGGAGATGTTAATGTTCAGGGTGATTTATGCTTAAAAGCAAATATCAAATAATACTACATAGGCTTTTTAAAAGGGAAAGGGGGAGGTATGGGTGGTTTAGAGAAATCACTTGTTAATAAAAACATAATTTTAAAATTCTTAACACAAAATCCTTAGCACCCTTAAATACATGTTATAGAGGGTAATTAAAATATCTTTTATGCTGTTAGCAGTGTTAGTGAGAGGAATGTTAGTAGAATTTTTTTTTAGATTGGTGGAAGTGTTAGGGTTAGGACTGGTTAATTTTTATGGTTAGAGTGTAAGTGTTACAGTTTAACCCCTTTACAGTATGTCACGAGTTAACTCGTCATATAAAATCTTGGGCTTAACCGTACATCACGAGTTAACTCGTCTTCAGATAAAAAAGTCGTCTGTGTGCCGTGCGTCCCGAGTTAACTCGTCTCGATACGAAAATAGCATTGGAAATCAATAAAAATGTAGAGGGAGGCTAATCTAACAGCCAATTCAACAGCGGATGATAAAAATGATAAAAAAAAAGGTGTTTTTTTTTGTCAGGACAACATAACAAATCAAATAATGAAAAAAAAACAATTACACAGTTCCAAAAAAAAAAAATTTTTTTTCCACGGTAAAGGGGTTAAGACTAGTCCATTTTTAGTGTTGGGGGTTTAAAATGATTAATTTTTAAGGTTAGTGTGTAAGTGTTGGGGTTTAAGTCTAGTCCATCTAAAGGTTTGTTGAAGTGTTTGGGCTTTAAAATGGTTAATTTTTATGGTTAGTGTGTAAGTGTTGGGGTTTAAGTCTAGTCCATCTAAAGGTTTGTTGAAGTGTTTGGGCTTTAAAATGGTTAATTTTTAAGGTTAGTGTGTAAGTGTTTGGGCTTTAAAATGGTAAATTTTTAAGGTTAGTGTGTAAGTGTTTGGGCTTTAAAATGGTAAATTTTTAAGGTTAGTGTGTAAGTGTTTGGGCTTTAAAATGGTAAATTTTTATGGTTAGTGTGTAAGTGTTGGGGTTTAAGTCTAGTCCATCTAAAGGTTTGTTGAAGTGTTTGGGCTTTAAAATGGTTAATTTTTATGGTTAGTGTGTAAGTGTTGGGGGTTTAGAATAGGCAATGTTTAAGGTTAGTTACAGTGTTGGGGTTAGGACTGGTCAATGTTTACAGTTAGTTATTAAGTGTTGGAAGTTTTGCCTGGTCAAGCTCCTTAAAAAGTTATTCATTATAGTGCAAATTTTAAAATATCTTTATAAATTTCTTAAACATTCTTTCTTCTCAATCACTCAAATGTTTTTATTGGTTTATTTCTAGAAAGTATTATTAGGGCAGCCTTGATCTGAGTAAAATAAGAAAAACACCACACAAACAAACAACAAAACATATACTAGACTGCGGCAACGTTTTTGTCTAGATAGGGTATGTTAGACTCAATCACTCAAAAGTTTTAATTAGTTTATTTCTATAAAGTATTTTTATTAATAAGCAGCCCTGAGGTTCATTAAAAAGAAGTATTCCACTAAAAAATGAAAATAAAACAATATTATAGTGAGACAGTCTTTTCCAGAAAAAGTATTTAAATTAATGTTTTTTAATTGATCAGAAAACATTTATATCTGCTTTCAAGAAAATGCAATAATAGTTCCAGAGTAAACTCTATCCACATCATGATTTTAAAATAATGAGTAATATCTTTATACCAAGCACGTTAGGGTGCATCCTTTAAAAGACAATTTAAATAATCTTTGGTTAGATTTTATACAAACTTTACCACAAATGTGTATACACAGGAATAAACACTTAGAAATTGATATAACCCCCACATTCATGTCCAATACTAGCTATTGATATTTTTGGCTCTTGGTAATAAAAAGTGACTAATTTTATCACAATGGGTTAAAAGATGTCACTGTTTATCAAATTCTAAACATAGTTTAACATATAAAATTTAATTAAGACAGAAAAACATTACAAAAATCAGTGAAATTTCTTGGATATAACAAGTAAACCTAAAATTTTCTTTCTTTTACCTTGGTAAGAGTTATATATAATCCTCTAATCCTCTATACAAAATAAAATGACATCGTTTTAGAAAACAAATATTGCTCAAATAACTAAACTTTTTTAAGGATTTTGAAATTTTTGCATGGAGAAAATAAAGTTATAAAAAAAATCAACAAAAATTAAATACAGCGCAGAATAAACAGTCTGTACAATATAAATAAAGTTTCTTTTTAATATGTACAAATTTTGATTCAAACAAATCTTGTACTGTTGGTTACAAGTCAGCTTCCTTTTCAGTATAACATTGGATCCATAAAATTTTACAATGAGATAAATATCATTTAAATAAAAAATGTAAAAAAATATTTAGAAATCTGTGAAGAAACTAATATTTATCTATTAAATAAAAACAGTAATAAAATGTGCATAAAATCTGACAGTTTACCTTTTTAAAGCTACCAATCCTAATGCATGGTCCAGATATGTCAATGGCCGAGGCAACAAAATATTGTATATAAAACGTGACAATTTACCTTTTTAAAGCTACCAATCCTAATGCATGGTCCAGATATGTCAATGGCCGAGGCAACAAAATATTGTATATAAAACGTGACAATTTACCTTTTTAAAGCTACCAATCCTAATGCATGGTCCAGATATGTCAATGGCCGAGGCAACAAAATATTGTATATAAAACGTGACAATTTACCTTTTTAAAGCTACCAATCCTAATGCATGGTCCAGATATGTCGATGGCCGAGGCGACAATAGCGTGGGCCTGGTGTTTGGTCGCTGTGACGGCTTCTCTCAAGTTGTGGAGTACTTTTAAATGGTACTGGCAGGGAGAGTAGAACAAATCAAATAACTAGTCAAAGTGTATATTTTATATAAAAAATATGTATTTTACTACTTTGTTTATAGAAAGAAGTGTGTGTGGCGGGGGGGGGGGGGGTGCATATTAGGACAACTGAAAGAAACTCCGACTTCCACTGGTTTTAAAGTAAGTATTGACCTTTTATCTACTCATGGGATGGCGTGGCCTAGCAGTGGAGCCCTAAACTGCTAACTCGGTAGTTTCATGTTCGAATCCGGGTTCAAGTTAGTGGAACGTCCCTGAGTCCACCCAACTCTGATGGGTACCTAACTCACATTATGGAAAGTGAAGGCGGCTGGGCATAGTGCTGACCACATTATCCCATTATATGTTGAGGTCAAAAAACATATGAACTCCACTTCATCTGCCCAATGGATCGTTAGGTCTAAAGAGAATTTTTTGTTTATCTACTCAAGCAGAAAATTTGTAAATTTTTCCTAACAATATATTATTCCATTTTTTTGTAACTATATTTTTAACAGTTCATAAAACTTCAACATTCCACAGCACACTCTCTATATAGACATTTTTCCATCAGTAGCAAGCTCTTACACCTAACTCTCATACAAGTTTTAGCCTGATTTAAGAGTCTAATCTTAATCCTAATACCAACAGAAAATCAACCCAGTTACGATTAAGCACTGTGCTGCAAGGAAACAAAAATGTACTTAATTTTAAAAAATTATTTATCTATCTATTCTGCTCCAGGATCCTTGACCTAAAATAAAAATTTATTGAATAATATAAAAAAATTATTTATTAAAAAGAAATGTGCACTTACATCATGGTCCCCATGTGCCATGTTAAATCTACAAATGTTCATCCCATTCTCTATAAGTTGTTTTAAGGTATCTACAGTGTCACATGATGGACCTAAGCACAGGAAAAAAAGACATATAAAATATCTTGAAGGTTTTTAAGTAATCTACAGCATCACACCATACTTCTAAACACAACAAATTAAACAGACATTACTAAACATAAATATACTGCATCTATAGCACCACATCTAAACACAATAATGTGCTTCATTTTTTCAAAACTAGATAATCTGCAACTGTGGTGAGAATAACTGTTGAATTTTTATACTTAAAATGTAAAGTATACCAGTTGAATATTTTAAAAGTTAGACAATAGTAAGAAAGATATCTACATGTTTGTGTTAAGTTGTAATTTTCTAATAAATTTTAAAAAATTTAATGTATTATATATAACAGTAGGGGAGCAGCCCAAAACCGAGTCCGCTGGAGATGTGTGGTTGCAGCCCTTTGCTCCCCAGGGCCCACAAAGGAATGATGATGATGATGATGATATATAACAGTAATGTCAAAAAAATTATTTCAATGCTGAAGTTAGGTACACCTTGAGATATCTATGTAAACACACATACATACTAACCCACATAGGTAAAAACAAGACTTACCTATAGTACAGACAATATTGGTCATGCGATAAGCCCTATCCTCAGTATCAACACTCAGAGAACAAATCTGCTGGAGGGGCGTCTGTTTCAGGCTTAGCCCTGGTCTCTCTGCCACATAAGTCATGTTGATGGAATATTGATGTGGCGCTGGTTCAACTCCAAACAGTGATCACCTGGAAATGGTACAAGGATTTTTAAAAAGTTAGAGATAAATATAATCTGCTAATGAATCATATACATGGGTTCCTGACTTGATTTTGAGAAAGTAGCATCAGTGAGGGATTACGCTAAACATATATCCCCATTATACAGAAGCCAAGAGAAACTGATAGACTATACCTCCTCTGGCTTCTTCTTCTTCCTCGTTATTAATTTTAGTATTGGAAAGGATCCTCTCCAACACAATTAAGTATAAGTGTCAACTGGTTATGCGCCATTGAGGCCATTGACTCCAATTTCAGCCTGCTCTTTTAAATTTTGGATTTGCTTCCATAGCCTTTGTCCAACCAAGAACAAACTACAAGGCAGCAGTTGTTTGATTTTGGAGTTGTCTCTCCAAGAAGAGTGGCTGTCCCCAGCTAACGAGCCTCATCTGCTTTAGCCTCTGGCTAAATGAACATAAGTTGCGACTTCAACTCTTAAAATATATTATGAATACATATCTCTACCCACTTTTGTGACATTATTTTTGGAAAACTAAAATGGGTGGCATTATGGGCTTACATTCTTCTCTTGTCATTTGATGATAGAAAATGTTATACCCCCCTCTCCAGATTTTTTTTAGAACATCTGATAATAACAGATTATTTTCTAGCAGTTCGTTGCTTGTCTTGACCATTTGGCCATCTAGTGACCAATGGTTTTGGCAGAGATGGCAAAGTCCTCTTCATCATAACCGCTGCTGATTATTTTGCATATAATTCCTGGTTAGGGTGCATCTTGGTAAGCAGCTGCTACCCACTGTCCAATAGAAAATTCACATTGTTCAGATGGTAGTTCTTTCAACAGGACTGTGTGAGTTTTTGTCTTGACTGTTTTGGTTCTAGGATTGGTGTTAAGTTTAATTTCAGCAGCCTGTTGCAAAGCAGCTTTCTCTTGTTTTGTATGTTTTTTTTCTAATGAATGTTCAAGAGCTCAAGATTTCTGCCACGTCTTAATGTGCCTAGCTGTGGGGATATTGTGAATCCATTTGCTAATCTTTCCCCTTTTCTTTCTAATAATTGTATTGTAGTATGGCGGTGATTTGATGCATTTGGACAACACTTTTGGCTGGAGTTTAAGTCTCTGAAATGGTGCTCACAAGCTAAATTTGTACCATGAACTGTAATCTTTGTAACTCAACAGAATTAGGATTTTGTATAGGATATCAACCAGGACATCCTCCTTGTTGCTCTTAAGGGATGTGACTTTTATTTTATCTGCTACATAGTTAGCTATAGCCTGGCTTGTTTCTGAGGCTGTATTTTCCTCCTGGAAGAAAATCTTGGACTTGTGCTCCTAAGGCACTTTTTAAAACCAACTGCAGTTGCAACAATACATTTAAAAGAACATTCCTGATCCAGATTACTGGTCTTGACTGTCCTTGAGCATTACTGCCACATCAATCACTCTGTGTTGAGTATTTGCAGTGGCTCCTGAATAATTCATTCACAAAATTGTGTAAAGGTGCAAAAAGTTCAGATTGCTCCAGGTACTTTATGTGGCCAGCAGTAATTATTTCCCAAAGTGGTACAATAATTTTTGTTCTTGAGCAGCTAGCATGCAATGAATTTGGCTGTCTTGCAAATCAAGGAGTATATAAAGACTCTAATTTTTTATTGGGTGTGTTCACTGAAGTAAGAATTAATATAAAAAACTTCACACAGGTAATTAAATCTGATATCTTTATAATTAGAACTTAGCCATTTTACTCAATTTTTGGGACAATGTCCTTCCCAAACATCCCTTAAATCAAGATGGTCTCCAATAGGCCCAAAAAATTCTGATGCCATCCTACACACTATTGTGGCAGCCAACTAAAATTGTAGTCTTCAAGATCCTGGCACATGTCTCTACCTAATTCTCCGCATATGACTTGCATACATTTTAGTTCCTTAACACAGTAGGTATGGAAACCTAAAAGAATATGTGCTGTGCAGAAAAAGGAATGCACACGCTGTACATGTTCTGCCCCAAACTGTTCATACTATCATTCCTCAAGGGTTCAATAAACTCATTTGACTTTTTTTTTCATTAGCTGCCTTGTCATTGATGAAGTATGACATTTTGTGCAGGACATCAACAAGGACATACTCCTTGTTGCTGTTAAGGGATGTGAGTTCTAATATTTTATCCCCTACATCATTGGCTATTGCCTGGCCTGTCTCTTAGGCTACGGTTGTAAATCTAAGGCTGAAAACTTCTCTTATGTTTAAGAGAACACTTGTCTCCAGTGTTTGTTTTCTTTATCGACAAGTCCCATCTTTATGTAAACCGAAATTGCAACAGCTGGCCAGACGTTTGCTAATATATATTTTTGCCAGTATGTGGCTTACATCAGCTACAAATAAGGCGACAGTTTCTTAGATTGTAGTGCTAAAAATGTGTTTAGTAACAACTTGAACGATAGGAAAGATTTTGGCTCTAGCTGTTTCCATCCCTAAAAGTTCCAAACCACACAAGCGAACATTTTCTGTGTATTAGCCACCTGTTTTAGCTTTTGAGATGTGGTCAGTATGCAGGGTATCATCGTCTTCATTAGGATCTAAAAGGCTTAACAGTGCCTCGCCTATTATTATGCTGAATTAAAATTTTCTTTTCATCCTATGGTAACTGGCTGAGTGTGTTCCTTTAAGGCTTGTTTCTTTTTGCCGTTGTTTTTTTTTTTAAATGTGGCTATCAATGTGTCTTTTTTACCTTATAATTTTCTTTAGTTCATCAATTGTCCAAATATTTTCAAAAATTTTAAGAAATAAGTTCTGTAATGGATGAATCTTCCATTTTCAATTTTGGTGTGAGGCTTTGAGAGAATTTTGAAATTTCTGGTAGCCAGTTCATATCTTTTATCTACAGTCTTAAAGCTGTAGCATGTTTTGGATTTATTTAATGTGGATGATTCAGATTTTAATATGTTATTTTAGCTGATTCGTACCTCCAACTCAGTAGCACAAATCTTTACTAAGCTTCAGAAACTTTATGCTACATCACAAAACCAGGCAATGGTGGAGTTACACACAACACAATACAGCCACAATAACAAATAGTAAGTAAAATTTTAACATTATCAAATAGACCTAGATCTAGACTATGTATGTAATTTAATTAAATAATGTTTTTTGTATGTTCATATGTCATATTTACACAAAAAAGACAATAAAATTGTTATTAATTTACACGTCAATAATCAATAAAGTTGAAAAAGTTTAAAATATAGGCCCTATGTAGTATGACATATGAACCAGCCTAGACTCTACTAGAGTCACTCTAGACTCCAGAGGCCTATTAATTAATATTATAATAATATATATACTATATAATATATAGGCCATAGGCCTATTATAATACTATTATTATATATTATATAATATATACAATATAATAGGATAGGCCATAGGCCTAAGACTAGAAGTTTACATAATAATAATAGTAGGCCTATAGGCCTAATAATAATAAAAGGCACAAACAAGCGTGGAGATTGATCTAGAACTAGAATCTAAATAGTAAATAGGCCTATTCAAGATTTAGATCTAGTTAGTCGGTTAACTCGTTAACTGTTGTCGGTGCAGAAAGTTCAAAATGAAAATTATTTTAGTAAGTTATTGCACTCGGCAAACAAGCCAGAAAAAACCCTGACCTAAGCAAGCTGTAAATAATTAAAAAAAAATAATTTTAGAATTTTAGATAGAGTACTACATCTAGAATCTAGATAGAAACAAACATAGACTAGATCTAATAATATAAATTATTTTGACTTGAAACAAGTTTAAAATAGTATATCTACGTACCACAATAGTATTAATTAATTGCAAAAGGATAAATGTGAACAGTTAGTCTAGCTCATATTCGGCGAAACGTAGCAGTTTCCTTCTAGATTTGGTTCCTATAAAAATCTTACGTACACTTTGACCCTACTCGCTAACAGCCTTGACCATGACCTTTACATTGCTATTTTACTAACTCCATACGTAAATGATGGAAAATTAAAAGGAATAATGGATTATTCCAAAAGAGATGGTTAGATGAGCCGATGAATAATAGAAATCCAGTAAACAATGATAATATGCGCTTCATTAAAACATTTTTTTTAATTGAGCGTTTTTTTTAAGGAGTTAGATCTTGTTTGATCCAAATAAGTTAATGTGGATCTACATACTATTTAGTTATATGTTTGTAGAAATGGACCCTATTTTTGAAAGAAACACAGGGTGTTCGCCCATGAATGACGCCAAACTTCTTCATCGGTACATATTTTTGGTGTAGATGTGTGACGAAAAGAAAGGGGGGGGGAGGGGTATTCAGAACGTCTGATGACGCTCTTTTGCATTATTTTAACGCTTGTAAAAAAAAAACGTGCATGTTTGTTTTTAAAAACTTCTTTAAAAAATGTTATATGCACTCAACGTTGACATGAGCTCATTTTATAATGGTGGGGGGGGGGGGGGGGGGGGGGGGAGGGGGGGGAGGGAGGAGAGTTTTATTGTGACGATTGGGAAAGAGGGGTAAATAAATACGTGATGGCAAAAACGCGTAAATCTATCTAAGCATAACGAGCATAAGGGCAGAAACTGAAGTTTTATTAAACTGTTTTTGTCAATTGTAATAGAAATTGATTAATATGTTCTATGTTGATTGAGCTCAGGCAATAGTTTTAAAAAAAGAAGTCGATATTAGGAAAAAATAATTGCCAATTTCAAGGGGGTTGTAGGCTGAGATGTGACGTCATTTCAGTGGTGGGTCTGGCAGAGGCGTAGCTAGGGGGGGGGGGCGGCCGCCCCGGGCGCCGACCCTATGGGGGCGCCAAAAGGGGTGGGAAAATTTTTTTAAAACTGATTTTATGCTGCAGTTTTGAATTATAAACTGTCTAAGTTAAGAAATGTAATGGCTACACGCATTTACATACTGATTTAACTGTTTTCTATCTTGATTTCTTAATGTAAAACATATACTCTTAAGAAACAGTGACCGGCAAAACCGCTTTGAAGCTTTTCCTAGATGGGGGGGGGGCGCTTTTTCGAGACTTAAAACGGAAGAATTTACACTAGATTGTTGAGTCTAAAAAGAAACCAATTGTATTAAAACGTATTGTACGATTGTTGAACTGTAAAATACGTTAGTGAGTTTTATCAAGATGGTGCAGGGGGGCGCTTTTAGGCTAAATAAAATAGCAAAATTACACAGGATTCTGAGTAAACAACCTTTAGCTCTCAGAAAGAAACGAATTGTACTGTGCATTGTATAATTGTGTAACATTTTTAAAAAAAAAGTTAGTTACGTTAAAAACCGCTCTACAAACTTTGTCCAAGATGGTTGTGATGAGTGTGTGTGGGGGTGGGGGGGGGCGCTTTTTTTGCTAACAAAAATCGCAAGTATTTGTACTGGATTGGTGAGTAGATAACTCTCTTAACACTTAGTAAAGAAACCAAGTGTATTAACGCGTAATGTACAATTTCAATAGCCCAGTTTTGTTTAAAAAAAGACGCGACTAGTTCTTTGTAAGATTCTTACGATTCTCTTCAACTTCAACGTGAGAGATCAGATACTTTTGATCAGTGTTTCTTCCAGACTTTTTTCTCGGGGAGGCAGTTGAAATCTTCGGGGGAGGGGGGAGCGGTAAACTTTCTTCGGGGGGGGGCGGACACTGTTAAAAGTATATATTTTCTATATATAAATTATATAAATTTCATTTCGTTCGGGGGGGGGGGGGCGTAAAATTTTTTCCGGGGGGCTTCGCCCCACCGAAAAGATGCCTGGAAGAAACTGTGTGCGTGTGCGAGAAGGCAGGGCAAATCTGCGAAATCCAAGACTACGAGCTGTTAACATCCGTTGGATTCCAGTTTGTTTCTCTAGCTTGTTTTGTCATACCATCAACCAATCAACGAAATACCCATGTCGTATTCCAATGTGAACAATAAATATTTCTGATAACTTCTTCTTGTATATCACTTGTGTGTCCTTACTCTAACAAAACTTCGAATCCAACTATGTACCATATCACAACAGAGATCGTTCAAAACTAGAACATAAAAGGCTGGTCTAAAAATATTAGCGTTAGCTACAAACTACCCTCTAACACAGATCAGGCTTATTTTTTTTTTTACTGGACATTACTAACCTTTCGCAAAAAAAGTTAAACGCATCTTAATGGGAATTAAATTGTCGTAAAGTTTTAAGGAATGAAAATCACACAATGTAATTATTAAACCTTGTCCGGACTGTAGCATACACGCTTACACACACGCTTACACACACAAATACACTCTTACCCACACACAAGCTTATATATAAACACACTATCACACACACATAATTATACACACACACACACACATATATATATATATATATACATATATATATATATATATATATATATATATATATACATATATATTTATATATATATATATATATATAATATATATATATATATATATATATATATATATATATATATATATATATAAGCGGGGGGGGGGGGCGCCAAATTGAAAGTTCGCCCCGGGCGCCGGGAAGGGTCGCTACGCCTCTGGGGTCTGGCCTTTTGTGACGAGGTGTCACGATGGGGAGAGGGGAGGTAAAAATCGTAAAAAAAACCCGTGACGTGATGACCCCTAATTAACAAGTCACTTTTCTTCTCATACCCCCCACCCACCCCCAGAGTTTCTTCCAGGCGCCCCCCCCCCCCCCCCGAAAAAATTCTACCCCCCCCCCCCCCCCGAACGAAATGAAATGTATATAATTTATATAGAAAATATATACTTTTTACAGTGTCCGCCCCCCCCCCCCCCCGAAGAAAGTCTACCGCCCCCCCCCAAATTTCAAGTGCCCCCCCCACCCCCGGAGAAAAAAGTCTGGAAGAAAAACTGCCCCCCCCCCCGTCCACCCACCCACTCCCCCCCCCTACCCCGACAACGTAGCACATATTAAGAAAAACTAACCCCTCACACACCCAACCCTTTTAAGCGCATGACGTTACTATGAACGAACCCTTACTAGCATACTAGGGTTATCTTTGAAAGCGTAGTAAATTACAATCGGTATAAGATGTCACCGACGATTCTTTATGAACGAGAAAAATGGCCCGTTGAGGAAGGATACAACGGGCGCTAGGCTGATAGTGCTGTCTCTTTTCTCTAAACTAAAACCACCCCACCCCCCCCACACACACCCCACCCCCCCCCCCCCCCCCCCACACACACACCACACCCCACCCCCACCCCCACCCACAAACACCACCCCCCCCCCCTACCCCCCCCCCCCCCACACACACCCCCCCACACACACCACACCCCACCCCCCACCCCCCCACCCCACAAAAAAACATGTCTACCGTCCCATTCAACGAAATATAATTATATACTTTTTCCAGTGTCCGCCCCCTCCCCGAAAATTCTACCCCCGCCCCCGAAAATTTCAAGTACCCCCACCCCTCTCCGGGGAGGAAAAAGTCTGAAAGAAACACTGGTGTCGCGCTTAGCCACTACCCGAAAAATTGCATTAAAGAAATTGCGAGAAAACCACTTTTAGATTAGACACATTCTTACGCGGGGGTGGGGCTTCGCCCCTACCCGAAGAATTGTATGAAAGAATTGTATATAAGAAACTCTTCACGCAAACCACTTAGATTAGACAAAATTTCCTTTTTATTCAATGTTTACTCGAGAATCAATGACGTCATATTACTGCGTGCACTCTCCGGCTTGCTCTAAGCTAAATGTGACCGCGTCATACTTCGTTTTCGAATTACTGTGAAGGTTTTTAATTTGCTTGTGTTTTCTCTAGAGCGTTCTTGTCAGACAGATAGATAGATAGATACATAGAGAGGACAGCGAAACTATTATTATAGATGTCTCATCGCTGTAAAATCTGCCATAGCCTTGACCTTACAAAAAAAAAAAAAAAAACAACAACCAATCGTTATCTTATCTTCTGTTGGAAAAAAATGTCACACCCTTTAGTTTTCTAAATCATATTTTGGATTAATTGTTTATATATTTTTTTCAAGGTAACG